TTTTTTTTCTGAAGAATTCCCTCACAGTCTTCAGTCTTAATGAGAATTTTTTGGAATTCCAGTAGTTGATGCTCAGAATGTCTTTTCACCTACGGTCCCGATCTATACAATGATCAAGATAAACTGGTAGAATAGATAGAAAGTATTTTTTCTGATTATTTTGTCAGTATGCTTGATTTGCAGTGTATCTGTGTTATCAAAATGCAATATTTGCTCAATACATAAGCTCAAAACTTCTTTCTCTCTAGTGATAACTCATGTTTTCATATATTATTTTGTTTATTTTTATTTTTGTGATATATCAAATAAATATGATTCACAAAACAGATTGAATAGCAAGGATTACTTGTTTTCTCTTTCATTGAACTGACAGATAAGCAGTAGTCTGTATTGATAATGAAGTGACAGAGGTCAATGAAAGTACTGTCTGAGGTTCTCAGCCGTCGAATTTTCAAAAGGTCGAAAAACATGTTTGAAGGATAAAGGATAAAGTCTTTGGACGCTGATCAATCCCGTCTGAGGTATGTGCCATGCATTCGACTTCCATTCAGAATCATAGTGGCGTTTTGAATGTGTATGTGGCCTATACAATGATTTGTAGTGGCTAGCCGATCTATATGTCAGCGCTTTTATCCTTCCAAACGAGTCTGGTGTCCATTAACCGATCCCGGGTCAAACCGAGATTCGAACCAGGGGCCTTGCGTGTGTGATGGCGCACCACTTGCAACAACACCACCTCCGTTCATTGTAATTTACCATCATTATTCTCTACTAATATTTTTTAGCCCTTATACACACGTATGAATACTCACGTACGTATGTACACGAACACCCAAACCACAAAGCCTTTACAATAGGACTTTTATAATTCGAAACAATGCTGGTCAGCCTTATCAAAATTTGCCTACTATGGGGAAGCCCCCAAAGGATTCAGGGTTTATCCGATTCCACTTGATATTTTCTATATGTCATGGGGTTGTCGTAAATTTGTGGAAAATAAGTTTGAAATGATAGATGGGTCACGAGGGTGTACCCGGCAGCCGACGGGCTCCGTTGCTTTCAGTAAGAAGTAGTAATCTAGGGCTTCGATAAAATTATTTCAATCCTGAGTTCACAATATTCTCATTTGTTGCCAAAAGCAATCGTTGGTGTTGATTTTGTGTACTGTTCTTTGGTGGAACGGACGCTGTGCTATTGATGCGTATTGATTAGGAGGCGTGGCTGAAGCCTCAAAGTAAGACGGAAGTATAGCGTATCCCATCAAAATCATTTTCAAAGTTTTCAATCATTTGGTGGTCGAATAGCTATGGATCTCAATGAGGACATACAGGATGGGAAAAACGATACAAAAAGGAAGCAATTCACTCTTTGTCCAGAATGTCATCAAGTGGTGGGTACGGTAATGTCTAAGTGGCTTTGCAGAGAACACATTTAATCGTTCATTTGCACTTTAACGTTAATCCAGTTTGCGTAGGTGTCTTATTGCACTCCGTCTGATTCACAGTTCATTCACACGCAAAGTACAAAAAATCCGCTCCCAATTCTCAGGGTGGGAAGGAAGAAGAGGGGGGCGGCACGCGGGGCG